GAATAAGGAAACTTCCGAGTCAGATAGTTAGCGGCATTCCAGCCCCAGTAGCTTGGCTGAATCTCAACGCAGACCAAATATGTATATTTTGAAACCCATGGGATACGACTCTCTAAGTGAAGCAGCGTTCGGAAACGTGGTGGGACCGCAATGCGTTAGATGTAGGAAGTTGGCAGATTCATAAAACAAAAGGATGTCACAATGAGTTTGAACTGAAAGACCGCGGAACTGTGGCACAGGGCGCCTTTTGAGAATGAAAGCCAGTTATTTGGAGGACCGAAGAACAAAAGGTTTTTCATGTACTTTGTATTCATATATATGTATAGCGGATATAGCATTTGTAATCCTAAAGGAAATAGGTGAGTATCACTTACAACACAGTAGCTTCTGGTTTTGTCGGGAAGACGACTAGTTAGCGGTAGGAAGGTCAACCCCCCGTCATTCTGTACACTCCTAACTCACACACCCACCGTTTCATCAATTTTCCGCGACGGATTACGTGACACAAGTCAAAAAGTTAGCAATGTGCCACCTGGTAGAATGGAATGAGGGTTGCGAAAAGCCTATGTGCTATGGCTGCAATGCATCTTCAAGCATGGGGTCAACGTGGAACCCCCTGTAGCTTGTTAGAGGTACCGTAAAACAATGAAACCAAAGTCGACGGTATTCGCGTTGAGTCACTGACCACATTCCCTCTGATGAAGTTTACACATCACGTCTCACCTCGAACAAACTGATGTGGTTGTGGGGCACGGATATGATCTTGTGATGCTGGTCGTCAATTCAGGCTCGGGCGAGATCGTTGAACACATTAAACTCCGCCACCGGTCTGCCAGGAATAACCGAAATCGCTACTAATGACTTGGTGACCAGAAGGGGATCTGTCCCTTCGCATTCTGCCACATGCTTCCGGAAAATAACTAGTTGTTCAGTGCACTCTATGCACTGCATGCAGCGCAATCCTAACCAACACCATTGAGGAATCTTCCAAGTGGGTAAGGCATTTTAAACATCTCAGTCGCAGGCATCCGTATGCGCCTCGCTATATGACCCTGCCGATCGCTCTCCAAAGAAATAAGAATTAGCCGAAATCATCACCCGGCCCGAAAACTGTGAAGCTTCCGGGAAAAATGGCATCCCTGGAGAGATATAGAAGCCATACACTACCACCCTTCTCGCGTAATCCATGAACCATTCAGTTCATCCTAGGACAGCGAAGTGTCTCCATCTGACTGCAGCACCTCTGTTCTTCTACCTTTTCTCAAAAATGGTGACAACTCTGCTAGCGAAGCTCCACGGATGTTTCTCGTAGAACATTTGCCATCCTTATGAATCGCTCTGCCAGATTCAGACTTCCGATCAGTTGCGCATGAAAAACAACTTAGAGTATGTCCTTGTACGACCGTGAGGCCAGTGGTCGCTGCTTAGGCATCGCCGCACTAGATCAGCTAGTCCAACGACGTGACCTCAGAGGCTTGGGCACATAAATCGTCAGAGCTGTTCTTGCTCCTATTCCACGGGAGACTGACGTTTCGTCGGATGTCATTTGAAAACATAGATTGACATGGTTAAAACCGATGTTGAACGTCTGGATCTACGAACTGTCTACCGTCACGCCAGTGGAACCAACACTGGATCGATACCTGCGATGGCCCTACCATCGACCACCTTGTCTGGGATATCAAGGAAGCTAGCTAGTCCTCAAGTAAGAGGGTCAAGGTCGAGTAAAGTGTTCTACAATGAGCAGAAGTCAGCAAATTGCGCGGACAGTAACTGATAACATGACTGAACGGGTTCGGGGATAAGTCGTTGCTTGAGGGCGAAGTTCTGTCAGGTAGTACCTACTGGATCTGTCTATGGATGTGACAGGTGCCCCAGCAGTATCTGTCCAACGAACTCAGTTCAAAAATCTGCCCAGAACTATTAGATTTAACCTTCTGAGCATCCACATTGTCAGCCGAAACCTGACCTAAGCTACTGGACCGTTGCGACCGAGTCTTCGAAAGGAAATTTAAGCTTTTTTGAACATCGAAGTTGATGTGATAGGGTTGCACTTAGACTCCGCATGTAAAATCCTCCACAGCCCCTGGTGCTTCCCCTTGAATAATAAGGGGGTATGTTCATGCACTGTATGTTGTGTATCAGGACTTTGCACAATGAATGTGCTAGGTATAGTGGTGGACATTTTAGTCCGCAGAGCTTATGCTTCCCCCAGGTCGACAAGATTCACACTATTAACGATTTGAACATCCGGGCTTTGAAAAACTTTCTAGCGCTCACCTCATTAGTTCATCCATGACCATCAGATTATGCTCACAAACTTGGGACATATCTTGCTGAGCAAGTGTGGTTAAGAGCACTGGTCGATCGAGAGATTCGAAGACAACCTTAAGGTCAAGTAAAACCAAGACTGTGGGTCGTCTGTAAATAAGGCGTTTCTCTAACACAAGATGGAGTGTGAAGAAGTGGCCGAAGCAGTCTCTACCCGGTCGACATCTCGCATGATACCCACGTGTCAATGTCTCGCATGACTCCGTAAGACGACGAAGAATCAGTTTACTTATCACGAGAGTCAAACAGAAGCCGCTGTGTATACCACATGCACTGCGATGGCCTTTGTTGAAGATGGGTGTTCTCGCCGATTCACCCCAGTTGTCTGAGACGGTCTCTCTCTCCCAAATGGAGACTAATAGGTAAGCAAGAATTCGCCGCCGTCCTTAACAGAGCAGGTGGGACGTCTTCGGACCGTGCATTAAAACTATACACTCAGTGGGTAGCTGCCTAGTTTTCCAAATTAACTGATCATGCCAGAATCTCGAAGGCTTGACTGTCTCCCATTTTTTTCGGTAATCGAAGCTGATAAACCAACGCATCACCTTTTTCTATCAAGTACAGCGCTCACACATAATGTACCCTGTTTATTGATTCATTTGATTATTTACGTACTTTGCAGCCCTTTATCACTCCCAACAGACACCACGAACTCTCGAATTTTCTGGGTCGTACATGCATACTGGACCACCTCAGCAGGGGAAGACTCGTCCTTTCGAAACCGGGACTCCTACCAACATGTCGGGGAAAATACAAGGACGACGAAGGCAATTACATCCAGGTGTATTAGTTACGATGTTTTGAAATGTCCGTCAGAAGGTGATCGTGTTGTTCCGAACTCATTTTTTACCAGGTCACTCTAAAGGAAACCGAGATTATATAGCAAGGCTGGATTACTGCCTTAAATGTAATTGTATAAATGGCCGCCCGTATAAAACCACTTAGCATAGATCACTACTAGACATCACGGTCATTTGCCTTAGGTCTGGTGAACCAACAGTCACCTGTACGTGTATGCGCATGTCCAGCGCCTGGTTAAGATATACTATGTTCGGAAGTAAAACCTCTCAACTTCAAGGGGGCGGGGTGGCATTTTTACAGAGCCAAGAAAGAACCGGTTGAGATGTGACTGCCTGGGAATACAAAGGCAACACTTTACACATGCTTTACGTATGCTAGATAGGAAGTAGTCTGGACAGCTGAGGTGACATGTCAGGCGAGACAGAAGTTCATGTGAGTCATCAGGCGTTCGACCTACCTGCCCAGTTGCCCAATGAAGAAGGAAATACGATAGGTAAGCACTGAATGCGATCGTTTCTACTCAGGATCGAAAGTGAATGCATCACTGAGTCAAATCTGTTAATGCTCGCTGATAAATCGGGTCAAGGAGATCCGACCCATTAGGTGGCAGCTCTCAAGTCGACGTTACTGGCTCAAGCGTTCACACTTAATAGCCGGGTCACGGAGTATCCATCTTCCCACCAACTTTCCCAACGCC